CATTCCCTTGATAGGTCCATTGTGGACTTGGAGAGTTCTAAAGAAATGCCAAACATTGGCAGGCATACAGAGGGGCCTGAGAGCCTACAGTTAGGCAGGTCAACCAGGTTCATGGGGGAGCAAAGTCCTGGTCTGATGAGCCCGGTGGGCAAGCAAGCAGACCAGGCAACAGGACACAGTTCACGGGGACCACCAGGGTTTGAAAGAGGGGGCAACTCCACTTCATCCTCTGCACAAGAGGAAGTAGGGGGTTCTCAGAACCTGAGGAGGTCACAGAGAGAAAAAAGATCTCCCAAGTATCTTGAGGACTTTGTAACCCTGCTGTCAAAGCAAGGAAAGTGAGAGGGTGCCTGCTGTTGTTGGAAAAACTGGGAGTGTGAGTATTGGGTAGTTAATTCCAAAACAATAGTCCAGTACCATTTGTGGTGTGGCTAGTGCACAGCTGCAATAGATGTGCAGGTTTTGGGTTGGCACACCACGCTCGTGTTGAGGTCGTGTATAACTACCTATATAGTTAATAAGTCTCATACGGGGGGGAAGGGGTGTTGTGTCCTGAGCCTGCAAAGGCAAGCTTGGGACGTTGCAATGGTCCCGGGCAGTTGTAAGCTGCCTGGGACCAGACTGAGTGGCGCTGGCTTCGTGCGCATGCGCGAGGCACAGAAGCGCGCCAGAATGTTACCTTTTTGCCTGGGGATGCTATTAAAAGGAGTCAGAGAGGCCTGCGAGCCTCAGAGCTGTGACGGAGAGAGAACGACTTAAAATAAAGGGCTGTTGAAATTACAGAATGTGCTGTATTCATTCGCCGTTGACTTGAGGACTCAACTCTATCTATCTATCTATCTATCTATCTATCTATCTATCTATCTATCTATCTATCTATCTAAACTTGTCCCAACTTTATATAGTTTTAATCATATCATGATTTTGTTTTAAAAGTTTCAATTGTTAATTTCTTTTTTTCACTGTTTGTTTTAGCAGATTATTCTTATATATTTCTGAGATGATTTGGAGCAGTTATGCATTGATTTAAACATATAAGTAGAAAAGCAACTTAGAAATATTGCTCATGCATTGGTCTTCTTGGTAGTGAAGAGTCCACTTAGAAACTGATTAAAATTGAAATAGTGAAATAGGTTTAAAAGATGCATTGATTTTTAGCATGCTTTCATTTATTACAATGACTATCTTTTTTACAGTATTATTTCTCAATTTGTAGTCTACCTGTAGTTGTTTAGATTAGAGATAAATAAACTTTGCCCAAATGGCTTGTATGTGAATTTGTATTGTCTTCTGAATAATAATTTGTTGAGCTGTGATATTGTAAACTTGTTATGCACTACTGTGTTTTTTGTTACTTAGTGTTCATTGATTTCATGTCTTTTTTTGATTCATGGACCGATAGTGAAATAACAAGCTATAGTATCATGTTCAAGAACAAATTTCAACTCAGCATAAAATTCCAGGCCCATTAAAAATAGATTATAAAAAGTGTTTAAGTTGCAGTAGTTTGCATCCATGACTGTATTTTTTAATTACATTTTTTACACATATTTAAGTAAATGAGAATAGGCAATCAATTCCTGAAGCAATGCCAATGAACACACTTCCTCTAGGCTAATATATTGGGGTATCTTCCATGTTTCTAAAATCAGCTTTTAGGTGTGAATTGTGTGGATTCATGATAATTCCAGACCTCTTCATCCCTGCTAAGAATGTTTTTATTACTTAGTTTCAAAGATTTGCATTAGATGAGCTATGTCAAAATCTGTTGAGGCAACTTTTGCACATGTTAAAAAAGAGACATTCATCCTTTCAATAATCTTTATATCATAGTTTACTATTTAATTCATTTTAGTTTTGTTGCTTGTGCAGTCTAGTCCCAAATTAATGTTAGGCTTATGTTCTTTCTTAAAAACACTAAGAACTACTTTATTGAATAAGATCAAGAATTATTTAGTCTAATACATTTTGCGGGATTTTCCAAACTATAATGCACATTCTTGATTATTCTCAATTAGTTAGTGATCCATCAGCATATCAAAAATATCTTCTGCCTTATCTGCTTTATTCAAACTGTATAGTTCTAGAATTCAGTATAATTCAGTAAAAAACAGCTGATTTGGTCTAGTGGTTATGGCGCCATGCTAGACAGCAGGGGACTGGAATTCTAGTCCCTCCTTAGCCACAAAAGCCAGTTTGGTGACCTTAGGCCAGTCACTGTCTCTTAGCCCACCCTACCTCACCCCATAGGTTTATTGTTCTGGAGAAAATAGGAGGGTGGCAGAATATTGATTATGTTCACCATCTGGAGTTATTTGTAAAAATAAAGATAGGATACCAACAAACAATACAACAATCTTGGCAATTTTCTGTGCAACAGGAAGTCATGGATCAATAAATAGATATTATTCCAAAATATGTATTGATCTTTACTTCCAATAAAACTATAGTATTTCTCTTTTGTTCTTTTATAACATGCTACAGTAGATATTTGATTGATACCTCCTATCCATGTTCTTCCTTTTGACCTCTCAAAAATAATGAGAGGTAACAGTACCGTAGTTTCATTGTACTCAGTTTATGAAGTTAAGGCAAGAAGTTCTGTTTTGTTGGGTAATTCTACTTATCATGAGAAATGTGGTTCTGAACTATAGTAGCTCCTTTCTAAAGTAACCACAGTCAAGAGTGCTGTGTTATAGATTTCTGCTCTTATAACCAAGAAGAAAGAAAAAAAGACTAAAGTCCAATTGCTTAATTTTAGGTATGAATTGATGCAGAGAGGTATGCTTGAACCTAAAGATGTTGGATTTGTTCCAGATGCCTATACTTGCAATCAGCATTTGGAGAGGGAAAACATATATTTGAAGAAAGAAATGGAGAACTATAAATTTGCAGCTAGGTATGTTCTTTTTATTTTATACTGGGTTACATTTTTTTAGAGAGTTGGATGAAAAAAGATTGTTGACATCAGATTGTAGAAGGTGATCAGTTTTGAATGGCAGTGTTGATGTTTACAAGTTTGTCTGGTAAACGATGGGTCAAATAGCTATTAATCCAAGTTAATGTATTTCTGCTATTTATATGCTGCTCAATTAAAAAAAGGTGCTGAGTGTCTTACAATAATATAAAAGTGAACTAGATAGAATTAAAAGAAAAAATAAACCTCAACCTTAATTTGCCTACTATAGGGAAGGGACATACAATATAATGACCTTTCCAAGGATTTCTGGAACATCCAGGTCTCTTAGCAGCTTTCCTGAATGTCAGAAGGATTAGTGATGGCCTGACCCCAGGTGGAGCATTATTCTAAAGAAGAGAAGCTATTATGAAAAGACATATGCTCTTTTTCTTCACAGTAACAACCTCTCAAGGTGAACCTCAAAGAGTATCTTCCCTACTCCTTTTTATTGGTTGACCAGAAGCCACTGGGAGACACTTGTAATATTTATTACATTATATACCCTTTATCTATCAGTATTGTTGAAATGAAGATAAAATATCTGTATCCTGAACTGTGTTGAAAAAATGAAATTTTCAAAGTGGTGTTGGTTTTTTTACCTACTCTATGTTCTTTAATGTTCCGTGATCCTACATTGTTTAGGGTTATCTTGAACTTAAAAGTAATGGTAGGATACAGATATATTGCATTACTGGATATAAAAAGACATTTGGTGTACTTTAATTCATACTGCATTGGTTTTAATGGAAATGCTTATTTTTTTCCTAAAGTTTTAATTTTGTTAGTATTTGAAATGAAAATGTACATCTTCTATTTATATAATTACTATATTATTATAAAAATATGATAAGATTATTGTCAATCTACAGAAAAATAACCCTCTATAAAATATTAAACATTCATTTTATATCAGAGGCAAAATCCACAACTGCAGATAAAGATAGTAGGTAAAGACGATAGGAAGTAGAGATGCATTTATTTTGCACCTGTTGTTTTCATTCTTGGTAGGAAAAACATTTTGCCTAGGAGTACGCCAGCAGCAATAGTTTTCTGAATCTGATGGTTACCAAAATCCCAGTATCCCTGCAAAAAGCTCTTAACTTAGGACACTGATTTTAAGAGCTATGGTGGTGCAGTGGTTAGAATGCAGCATTGCAGGCTAACTCTGCCCACAGTTGGGAGTTTGATCCTGACCAGCTTAAGGTTGATTCAGCCTTCCGTCCTTCCGAGGTTGGTAAAATCAGGACCCAGATTGTTGGGGGCAATATACTGACATTTGTAAACTGTTTAGAGAGTTCTGTAAAGGACTATGGAGCGGTATATAAGTCTAAGTGCTATTGCTATTTCATTAATAATAAAAAGAATGATTTTTAACCAGTTTTTAACAATTCAAGCATAGAAAATTAGAAAAGAATCTCAGCATAGAAAATTATTTCCTCTGTAGTAATATTATTAGGAGTGCCAGTTTAGTGGTTAGGCTAGAAACTGGCAGACTGTGAGTTCTGGCACAAAGCCAGCTGGTGACCTTAGGTCAGTCACTTTCTTTCAGCTCTTGGAAGCGGACAATGGCAAATCATTTCTGAAAAACTTCAGGGATTTGTCCAGGCAATCTCCAAGAACTGGACAGAACTGAATGGAAGTAAACCTCTTTTTCTAATGTTGTATTAAAAACCTATGCATAGGAACAAACTGTTAGATTTACCTGAATTTAATTCCAGATATGTGTAGTGCTCACGCCTGAAGGAGCCACTGGTGACTTTCTATCAAGTCTACCCATCCCTGTGTCAGGTCCATCATGCAAGTGTCCTGCCATTCTGTTACAGGGGGGAGGAAGGTTTCCTACCGTGGAGACAGTGTAAGCAATGTCAGCTCAAGGCCATGATCAGGAGGAAGCTGAATGCTGGGGGGAAGCCTCCACCAGGGCTCCCCCCACGTTGGACCTCTCCAAGTGGATGGAGGAGGTCATCAGCCTGGAGACTCATTGAGACCCAGGTAGTCCATTGGCGTCAGCAAGAAAGATGACTGGGGAGAGCCTCATCCGGGGCAGTCAAGGCAGCAGATGACATGAATGGCAACTGGAGTTGGAAAAGCTCGAGGACAAAAAGGAAGAAGGCAGAGGGATTGACCATGTGATCTCCTAATGAAGCAAGCCATACAGTTTATGATGGATGCTTTCTAAATCCCATGCCAGGATGGCTGCTGGTAAGATTTACCAAACCCAAAAGGAGTAGGATGGTGGGAGAGCATCGCCACCGGACACCACAGTGGGAGTTTCGGCAACCCCAGCCAGTGGCACCATGGCCATGGGAGCAGCGCAAAGAATACCTGTCATGGCCAACGTCCCAGGTGGGCCAGCACAGCAAAACCAAAGAGGAGCAAAACCCCATCCTTGGGTGTGAAGTTTGATGGAGATCCCCAATATTTGGGGTTCTTCCTGGCCCATCTCTTAACTTATATGCAAGAATATGGGCTGGAGATCCCCACTGAGGGCACCAAGGTGAGGAGTGTCACCCTAGCACTGGAAGTAGCTGCAGTTCATTGGATGGTGATGCTCCACAATGTGAATGCAACCAAACTGAGAAACTCCAACTGCTTTGTGATGGCACTCTGCCATTGATTCAAAAATCCCCTGGCTGACTACAAAGCAAGGGATCGTATCAAAACCGTGAGACAAGGTCACCGAGCTGTGGCGGAGTATACTGCGGAGTTTCATGATCTGGCATGCTGACTTAATGACTGGTCAAAAGACATCCTCATCAGCTGCTTCAAAAACACCTGCGTCTCGAGGGGGGTCCCTGCAACCCTCCATTAGGGTATGTCCTGGCAGAGCAGGTGGTGATTGACCAAGCACTCAACAAGTACTAGGTGGCACAGTCTTGGAAAAAATCACCTCATGAGAAGAGGGAAGTAATCAAGCCACAAGCTCTGCAAGTTCGCTCCACTGCTTGTTTCAAGTGCAGCCAAGAAGAGCACAGGGCGGCAGAGTGCAAAACCATCCACCCAACCAAGAAAGCGAACCCCAGCCCTGTGGAGAAGACCACCAAAGCTCTGCCATAGGCCAGAGACTGCGCTAAAGAAAGTGGAGGTCATCGAGTTCATCCCATCACCAAAACTCTGACTCCACCAGACAAGGGCCAGGGATTGACCAACACCGACTCCAATGACAACCCTCTGGTAAGTGGCCCGATTATACCTATAACAACCCCCATAGAATTGAGCATAAAATAGGGACTAAAAGCCAATTTAAGGGCCCTATTAGATTCAGGTTGCACCAGGTGCCTGGTAAACCTAGCACTAGTTGAAAAAGTCGGGATCTGGCTGAAGCGGCTAAAAGTTCCAATTGCTTTTTGCCAGCTATATGGTTCAGTCGCAGGGGCCATTCCGGCAACTTTCATCACACAACCCATAGAAATGTAAATGGGGGCCCATTCAGAGACTTTGAGCTTCATAGTGGCATCTGGGATGGAATGACCCCTAGTGCTAGGGTTAGCTTGGCTAAAGAAATGGAATCCTACATGAACTGGAGGAGGAGGCTATTAAAAATACAAACAGGTTGCCCCTCCTGGAAGTAGGGGAAAATTCAGAAGGCAACTGGCCGCAGCGTGAATCGGGGCAGCCACGCATGGGAAGGATATCACCACCATACCCAAGGAATATCAAGACTTCAGAGACATGTTTAGTGAAAAGGGGTCAGATGAACTCTCTCCCCGTTGACCTATGGACTGTACTATAGACATCTTACAGGGGGCAAAGTTGCCAAAACGGAAACTGTATTCAATGACCCCACAGTAACTGGAGGAACTGCAGCTGTTCATTGACAAAAATGTTGCCTGAGGTTTCACATAGCCTGCACGACCCCAGGTGACAGCCCTGGTCCTGTTCCAAGAAAAGAAAGATGGGACTCTTCATCTATGCTTGGACTATAAAGGGCTTAACGGAGTGTGTGTGGAGAATGTCTATCCCTTACCCTTTATGGAGGATATGTTAGCCCACTTAGCTAAGGGCAAAATATTTACTAAATTGGACTTGCAGGAAGCATATTACTGCATGAGAATTAGGGAAAGGGGACGAGTGGTAGACCGCTAGGTTGTTTCCAATTCAAAGTGTTCCCTTTTGGGCTATAGGGAGCCCCTGCTGTGTTCATGCAGTTAATTAATGAAGTTCTGCACAAGCATTTGTACAAGGGGGTGCTAGTGTACCTGGGTGACATTTTGATTTACATTGAAACATTTTGATTTACACATGAAGTTGCCAAGTTATACGCTTAAGTCTCTAAACGTGAGTTCCACCAAAGCAAAATAGACTATCCGGGCTATTGCATCTCACGCAAATGGACCCTGAAAAGGTCAAAGTAGTATTGGAATGGGCTCCACCCTGCACCAGGAAGCAGCTGCAAAGTTTCTTGGGTTTTCCTAACTTTTACTTGCAGTTCATCCCCTCGTTTACCCAAATAGCCGACCCCATTACAAATCTGTTAAAGACCAAAGGGGGGGGGACAAACCTAAACCCAGTCAACCTCTAAAATGGTCAGTGGAATGCCAGGTGGGGAGCAAGATACTTTTCGAGGTGTGGACTGATCACAAGAATTTGAAGGCACTAAAAATCCCTTGGAAACTATCCCCAAAGCAAGTATGATGGGCACAGTATTTTAACCACTTTTCACACTGCACTGTCTTCCGGGGGGGGGACTTCCTAACTGATGCTCTGTCACGTATGTCTCAATACAGCTGCCCAAAAGCGGAAATAGTCAAACCGCTACTCCCATCTCACCAGCTAGCCGGCCAAGTGACTACCCAAGCATGGGGCAAGAGGAAGTCTCCAATAGATAAAAGAGTGGCTGCAGCTCTTAAGGCTGCATTGAAAGAGGATACATGGTTTCAAAATCATGCAAATGTTTGCTCAGTCCAAGATGGACTGGCTTGGACAGGGGTTAAGCTTTATGTACCAGAAACTCAAAGACTGATGGTTTTAGAAAAGGGCCTTGATTCCAAAGTGGTGGGGCAGTTTGGTTTTATGAAGTTTTTGCATTTGATAAAAAGACAGTTCTGGTGGCCGTCTCTCAAGAAGGACATTGAGAGCTATGTGGCAAGCTGCCCTGTATGTGCTGCGACTAAATGAAGACAGGGGAAAACTCCAGGACTTCTCAAAATTGTAGCTGAACCTTCAGCACCCTGGAGAGAGATTTCTATGGATTTCATTATGGAACTCCTGGAAAGCTCAAACAACACCATTATATGGCTCATAACCGATTTATTTTCTAAACAAGTACACTTTGTTCCATGTCCAAAAATCCCATTAGTGCAGGGGCTAGCCAAATTATTTTTGCATCATATTTACCAATTACATGGGGCACCTCAACACATCATTTCAGACGGGGGGGGGGGGGTGCAATTCACTTCTAAACTTACTTGGTTCCAGTCATCACCCCCAAACAAATGGGATGTCAGAATCCAATTATATTTCATCTTTAAATTATCAAATATAGAAACTCCCAATTCTGCCTTCTCTGGATTCTGCCATAAGAGGGAGAGAAGGGGGAGAACAAAGGGGCTTTATGGCCCTCACTTCCTTCTTTACACTTCAAAGAGCTAAATGCTGAATGTGTGTTTATTGTAACCTCGAAGTGTTAGCATACCAAAGGAGAGTAATTGCCTTTCATGTAGTTATCTGAAGTCTCCATCCAGACGGAAGAAAGAAGAAAGGGAGTGGAATTGTGATACTTGAAACTATCACTGGAAGGGGGGTTGATTGGGTGGGACTACTGGGGAACCCCTTAAAACCTTGAATGGGAGAGCTTGGACCCCAAGTCCTGTCTAGCATGCCTGCAACCATTTTCTCTTAATAAAGGATTCCTGTTGGAAGAATTATTCCAAGAGTTCTGTCTTCTTAAGATGCAAAGTGGGGTGGGTCCTTACATTAGACAGGACTTGCAAAATTAATCCACCTGGAAGGAAGACCCTTGCCGGGGGATTTTGCAAAAATTTACCATGTCAGACAATGGAGCAAGAGAGGGGGAAAACTCCCTGGAAAGAGAGCCGCTGACCCAGTTGGAACCTTGCCAGATGTTGGGATCCGAGAGGCCAGATTCCTCAGGAGAAGAAGTGGTGGAGACACAGGACCACAAGCCTCGCTGGTCGATGGGCGTTGGAAAGAAAAGTGAGTGGGGAAAGGAATCAAGAAAGGTGACCCTGAGACGGGGGACCAAGCAACCAGAATGGAAGCAGGAGATGGAGAAATCCCTGCACGCAAGTGAAGAGGGAGGAAGCTGGGCACCGTACTCAGACTGGATCCTAGAGAAAGCTATTGACCTGATGAAAGAACTCTCAGCTCCCTAGGAGAGGAGAATACTGAACCCTACGGCCGCCCCAGTTCCTGGAGCCGCAAAGGGAGAGACACCGAGGGGGACATGGAACCTGCAACCCCAGGGACATCTACTGATCCAGGAGCTCCCACCCCCTACCGGACCACAGATGGCAATCTGGACGGAAGGCACTACCACCCACAACAGAGGCACCGATCCATTCCAAGACGTCCACCGTTGGAAGTGAAATTCAAAGGGGAGCCAACACGCTTGGGGTTTTTCCTAACCCAAGTCCTCAGCTACATGGAGGAATATGGGCAGGATATTCCCAGCGACAAAGCCCGCATCCGGATCGTGCAATCTGCCCTGGATGGACCAGCTGCGGATTGGGTAGTGAACTTGCATGACTCCAATGCCCCAGAACTCAGTAACTTCAACCGTTTCATGTCCTCTTTGAGAAGACGATTTGAAGACCCCCTGGCTGATCGCAAAGCCCGTGAAAGAATAACAACGATGAGGCAGGGCAAACGCCCAGTGGCTGAGTATACACAAGAATTCCGGGCCATTGCCAGCAAACTGAATTGGCCAGAAGACATCCTCCTTGGCCGTTTCAAAGACGGACTAAACTATGATCTATATGATGCTTGCCTGCCCCGAGGGGACCCACATCGACTTGAGGAATGGTACGTCTTGGCAGAGGAAGCAGAGATCGACATATTGAAGAGGCACCGCCGAGGAAAACAATGGAGCCGCCCCCCGCCTGAGCTGACACACCAACCGGTGAAATCATCGGATACAGCCAAGAAGCAAATGGGATGTTTCAAGTGCGGAAGAGAAGGGCATCGAGCTGTAGAATGCCGCTCAAAGGCCCCCCAGCACAACCCAGACAGATCCCCAATCAACAAACCCGGAAAGTATTCAGCTAAGCCAAAAGAAACGGCCATGAGAATGATGGAAATTGCAGAAACCCCCACCTCTGCTCACCAAGGGGAAAGGACTCCAGCCTACACCACAGGGCCGGTGGATGCCTCAGATGACAGCTCGGAGGGCGAACCCCTGGTAAGTGGATGCATCACACCCATCTTCAAAACAGTGACTATATTAATCCCCCCCATGCCCGAAGCTGTGAAGGTGAAAGCCTTAATAGACTCTGGCTGTACCCGCTGCCTCATTAGCCCAACACTAGTGGGGAATCTGGGCATCCCATCCAGGAGACTGGAACAACCAATCTCATTTGGCCAGCTAGATGGATCCATAGCAGGGGGGGTGCCAGCTACCCTAGCCACTTTGCCAATACATCTCTCCCTGGGCAACCATGAAGAGGACTTAACGTTTGTGGTGACCCCAGGTATGGAATGCCCAATGATTCTAGGGATGGAATGGTTGAAAAAATGGAACCCCTGGGTAAATTGGAGGACGACAGAAATCAAATTCCCGAAGGGGGACCCTATGGACTTAAAACCCCAAGGGAGGCTACCAGAATCAAGAATAGAAAAAGCATCCATAGGAGAGGAAAAAAGATTAACAGAAATACCAGAGGAATATAGGGACCTTGCTGAAGTCTTCAGTGAGGAGAGGGCGAATGAGCTTCCCCCCCACCGACCCACAGACTGTACCATTGAATTCAAGCCTGGGGCAAAACTCCCGAAGCCCAGATTATACTCCATGAGCCCAAAGGAGAAGGAGGAAATGGAAAGATTTATAAAAAAAAACCTGGAGAGAGGTTTCATTGAGCCAGCCAAGCCTAAAGTGGCTGCCCCGGTCCTTTTTAGAGAGAAGAAGGATGGCTCTTTACGTTTATGCGTGGATTATAGGGCCCTGAATACAATCAGTGAAAGCAACCTATACCCGCTGCCCCTCATGAAAGACATGCTGTCACACCTATCGAAAGGGAAAATTTTTTCTAAACTAGACTTAAGGGAAGCTTACTATCGAGTGAGAATCAAGGAAGGGGACGAATGGAAGACTGCATTTAACTGCCCCATGGGGTGCTATCAATTCAAAGTCTTGCCATTTGGATTACAAGGGGGCCCTGCAGTCTTTATGCAATTAATCAATGACGTTCTAAGGGAGCACCTGTTTAAGGGGGTCCTTGTTTACTTGGACGACATTCTTATCTTTACTGAAACAAAAGAAGAACACGTCAAACTTGTCAGAGCGGTTTTAAAGAAGCTGCGAGCCGCTCACCTATATGCCAAACTCTCAAAATGCGAATTCCACCAGGAAAGGATAGACTACCTAGGCTATCGCATATCCCCACAGGGCATTGAAATGGACCCAGAGAAGGTCAAAGCAGTACTAAATTGGGCACCACCCCGCACAAGAAAGCAACTACAAAGTTTCCTGGGCTTTGCAAACTTTTATCGCCAATTCATCCCCTCATTTGCCCAGATAGCCTTGCCCCTCACTAACTTACTAAAAACGAAGGGAGCATCCTCAGTAAAACCTAGCCAGCCACTAACATGGACAATGGAGTGCCAAGCAGCGTTTGAGAGACTAAAGAGACTTTTTTCTGCCGAACCAATACTAAGGCACCCAGACATGGACAAGCCCTTCGTAATACAGGCAGATGCAAGTGATGTGGCAGTGGGGGCTGTGCTATTACAAGAAAATGATGATGCAGTATTGCAACCCTGTGCATATACATCCAAGAAACTCACGGAAACAGAACAGCGCTGGCCCGTATGGGAGAAGGAGGCTTATGGGATACGTTGGGCATTACTCACGTGGCGACAGTTCCTGGAAGGCAACAAAATCCCCTTCCAGGTGTGGACTGATCACAAAAATTTAGAAGCCCTGAAAACTTCCAGGAAACTCAATCCCAAACAAGCCCGCTGGTCCCAGCATTTTCACCAATTCCAATTTAAGCTCAAACATTTACCAGGAAGAAAGAACTTCCTGGCAGATGCTCTATCTCGCATGCCCCAATATAACAGCGCACGAACCACAGACTCTAGACCAATAATGGCAGAGTCACAACTGGCAGCACCAGTAACCACAAGAACCCAAGCCAAAATAAAACCACAACTGGACAGCCAAACTGGGATTGAATTCAGAAAAAGTTTGGAAACAGATGAATGGTTCCAGAAAAACAAAAATGTGTGCACAATGAGAGACGGGTTGCCTTGGGTAGGGGAAAAGTTATATATACCAACAACTCAAAGAGTAACTTTCATGCACCTTTGCCATGACACAAAATCAGCAGGGCATTTTGGATTTGTAAAAACTTTACATTTAATTAAACGGCAATTTTGGTGGCCATCCATGAAAAAGGACATTGAAAGTTATATAGCCAGTTGTCCAAAATGTGCCACGGCAAAGAGGTTGCAAGGGAAAGTGCCAGGACTATTGCAACAGTGGCAAGTCCCTCAGCCCCCTGGAGAGAAATAGCCATGGATTTTATAGTGGAATTGCCAGAAAGCAATGGGAATACTGTGGTCTGGACGGTCACGGACTTGTTTTCCAAACAGGTGCACTTTATCCCTTGCCAAAAGATTCCCACTGCAAAAGCCTTAGCAAAACTTTTCATCCAACACATTTACAGATTGCATGGGGCACCCCAACGCATCATCTCTGACAGGGGGGTGCAATTTACGTCTGCATTTTGGAAGGAATTTTTATCCCTCTTAGGAACCACTCAGGGACTGACATCTAGCCACCACCCTCAAGGAAATGGGGGGGCTGAAAAAATGAACTCAGTACTTAAGCAATATTTAAGATGTTTTCTTAGTTTCCAGCAGACCGAGTGGGCGGACTTACTCCCCTTTGCAGAAGTTGCCTACAATAATGCAGTCCACTCCAGCACAGGTTACACTCCTTTTCAAATAGCCACCGGTCAAAGTTTCAACCCCATGCCAGAATTAACCCCAAACGAACCAACGATCCCCTCGCTGAAAGAATGGATGGAAAAATTACAAAACACCTGGCCAATAGTCAGAAAAGCACTAGATGAAGCTAGGCAGGCTTACAAAACACAAGCCGATAAAAAAAGGGTTGAGCCTACACCATTCATTATAGGAGAGATGGTGTACTTATCTACAAAATACCTAAAGTCCCTACAGCCCTGTAAAAAACTTGGACCAAAATACATAGGACCTTTTCCAATTAAAAGAATCATAAATCCAGTAACAGTAGAATTAGAATTACCCAAAAATCTCAGGCAAATACACCCAATTTTTCATTGCAGCTTGCTGAAAAGAGAGCATCAGTCACCTCTACGGCCAAAAATCCCCCCCCCCACCACCTCCAATCATGGTGGAGGGTGAACAACACTTCGAAATAAAGGAAGTCCTTGACTCTAGGAGATATCATGGAGCAACTCAGTACCTAGTTGCCTGGAAAAACCTCCCTCCCTCACAAAATGAGTGGGTCCATAAACGTCATGTCAGAGCCCCGAAGCTATTGAAGTAGTTTCACACAGAGTATCCTAACAAGCCTGACTAAATTTTATACTTGTGTTTTCTTTCAGGTGGATCTCTCTTATTGTTAAGAGGGGCCGGATGTCAGAATCCAATTATATTTCATCTTTAAATTATCAAATATAGAAACTCCCAATTCTGCCTTCTCTGGATTCTGCCATAAGAGGGAGAGAAGGGGGAGAACAAAGGGGCTTTATGGCCCTCACTTCCTTCTTTACACTTCAAAGAGCTAAATGCTGAATGTGTGTTTATTGTAACCTCGAAGTGTTAGCATACCAAAGGAGAGTAATTGCCTTTCATGTAGTTATCTGAAGTCTCCATCCAGACGGAAGAAAGAAGAAAGGGAGTGGAATTGTGATACTTGAAACTATCACTGGAAGGGGGGTTGATTGGGTGGGACTACTGGGGAACCCCTTAAAACCTTGAATGGGAGAGCTTGGACCCCAAGTCCTGTCTAGCATGCCTGCAACCATTTTCTCTTAATAAAGGATTCCTGTTGGAAGAATTATTCCAAGAGTTCTGTCTTTTTAAGATGCAAAGTGGGGTGGGTCCTTACATGGGGGCTGTAAACTCAGTATTGGAACAATATTTCAGATGCTTTATTAATTATCAACAAGATGATTGGACTGATTTGTTGTCTTTTGCAGAAGCGGCCTACAACAATTCAGTACATAGTAGCACCAGATTCACCCCTTTCTGAGTGGCCGCTGTCAAGACTTTACTCTTATGCCTGAACTGCCCCTGATTCATGGCTTCATTAAAGGAATGGGTTTCCCAATTATGAAACACATAGGCCTGTTGCGAGAAAAGCCCTTGCTGACATCCAAGAAGCTTACAAACGTCAAGTCGACAAGAAGGGCATAGAACCCAAACCATTCAGAATTGGTGATTGTGTCTACCTCTCTACATGTTACCTACAGTCCTTGCAACTGTCAATAAAGCTGGGACCCAAGTTCATGGGGCCTTTCCCCATTAAGTGTATCATCAACCCTGTGACTGTAGAGTTAGAAGTGCCAAAATCCCTGTGTAGGGTCTACCCTGTGTTCCATTGTAGTCCGTTAAAGCGTGAGGTTGTTTCTCCTATTAGACCCAGCCTTCCACTATCTTTTGCACTACTAATGGTTGAGGGGGAACAGCATTTTGAAATTTGTGAGTTTTTAGATTCCCGGAGACATAAGGGAGAACTCCAGTACTTAGTCACATGGAAGGATTTCCCCAAAGCTGAGAACAAGTGGATGAACCATTGTCACATGTTTTCATAACCAATATCCTGATAAACCTAAATTAGTGTATATTGTAATCCCATATTTTCTTTCTCTCCCTGTTTATTATGTTTTCTTCTGCAGGACTAACATCGTTCTTTCGGGGGGCACCATGCAGGTGTCCTGTCATTCTGTTAGAGGGAGCCTGGTTCCAAGACTGTCGTGCCTTGAGAGTGCCCTGTTATCTACCCAACACCTCAGTGTTCTCATAACTTCTCTATGGCATCATATTGGCTGCCAGTGGACTGTTCGGGGGCTGGATTTGGAGAAAACGAAAGAATTGCTTTGCGCTTTGTATGGGACCTTCAAATTCCACCTGACTTTTCTGCATCCATTATCTCTCAGTAAAAGTTTTGATTAACTGTAATGGAGTCAAGAGTTTTACTTTCCTGAGGGACCAGCTGGGACAGGTCCTTATGCCCTGATTTTCAATGAATTGTAAGGCACACAGAGTTCACATGAATAGGAAAAGAACAAAGCTGTTAGGCAATAGCAAGTTCACTCACTCAAAATTCAGTCATGCCACAAAATGTTTTGACTGTAAGAAAAGAAGGAAAATGCAGAGGCTAGCAACAAAATTCATGCCAAAATAACAAAGAACATGCCATATATCTAGCTGTTGCCACCATTATACTTTCTGTTGACAAAAACAAATGAGGAATGCAACAGGTTAAATGAAACCAGGACAGGAAATAGAGTTAGATCAAGTGCTAAGGTGCTTCTTTTATTGGAGATTTTAAGAATATCTTTCTGAGACTGGATGGCTAGTCCTCATGATAGATGCCTTACTTCCCTAAAGAATAGAAATTTATGTAGAAATCATATTTTTTGTTTCCATGCAGTAAAGCTAAAGATGCACTGCTAAAAATGCAGAGAGAGCGTGACTTCCATAGAATGCATCATAAAAGAGTAGTCCAGGAAAAGAACAGACTCATTAATGACATTAAAAGGTAAATAAATACAAATATATTTGATACTAGTTGCAACTGCTGCTTTTTGTGTATATGTGCTATAATATCCTGGAACTTTGTTCTGTTTCTATTTTTTTTAATTATATCTTTATTAAGAACTACTTTTGTTGATCTATGAGCTTTATGAGTAATATTGTATTCAAATGCTCTTTAGTCTTTTCTGAACTAAATGTTACTCACTATATAATCTTTAACAGTATATAACAAATTGCTTTATCATGTATATTGTAGAAACATGTCTGTTCTATCCCAAATAGAGGTAACAGTTATTTTGTCGCTCCTTTTGCATTGGGAAGACAACAATTTATATGACATTGCTTTTTTCAAAATATTTCTGTTTGACAAAATTCAATTTTTCATGGATCTCATTTACTTCCATTAAATCTATTTGATTATAAATGTATTTCATTTTTTAAATAGATGATTGTTTCTTAATTCTAGTTGCTTCAGTTCTTTCACAGTATGTCCTATTTTTGTATAGCTTTCTTTCTGTTTTAAGGCAGAGAGATACACATCCTTTTATAAGTGCTTTGTTGGAGTGCTGTACTGTAGATAAAAAAGAAACATTAAATTAAATTGGTTTGGAAGCTTTTTAATTCTTGTCATTTCAATTTCACATCCACTTGTACTAATACACATTTGTTAAATTTCCACTTCTTCAGTTTGGAATTATTAGGATAATATTATGTGTTTGTAACTCTGCTACTATCACATGCATAGGATTAGTTAACAATGTATTAGAAATTCAGCACATACCTCTCCACATTATGAACTAAAGAGCAGTATATAAGTTATTTCCCGGCAAGGTATTTACATTCAAATACATTGAAAAAAAATAGTAATGATATATGAAGTAAAACATTATGGGAAAGTTTGCCAGAGTTCCTTTTAGATAAAGTCCATGTTTCAGAAGGAAAACACACCATTTATATTCCAAGAATCAGAATATCTTTGCACCATAAAAAAGATTGAAAAAATATTTCATAGATCTTTATTTTGTTATTATTTGGGGCATAAATTGTATCAATTGTTGTTTTCTCAAATTCAGCCTGAAAACATAAATTTTCCTAGTTCATCTTGAGTTTGTTTTTCAAATTCAAATATATGCCTGAGACCACAAATGTATGATCAAAGTTTATTTTCATTCTGACAAATTTATGGGATTCTTGAATATGTGCATGTTCCTTTCAGAGTTTCAAAAATTTATTTTTCCTTTTAAATTAATTATTCGTACTATTAATATTGAGAAATAGTTTAAGAAGAAATAACATGCTTTGTACAACTTGGTTTTCTGTCTGTTCTCTGCCTTTACTACCTTACTCTGTCACAGCCGTGGAATATACAAAAGCTTTGCCATCACACATAAAGGCCTGTAGATGAAAGAGAATGAACATCCATATCAGATTTTTTTTTGAGCCATTGTCAAAAATTTAATGTTTCCCTTCTTCCTAAGAATATCTGGAGGTACTTTTGATAGAATCTCAGTTATTCTGTTTCTGAATTTTAAGGGAGTATTTCTTCTTTTTTATTCTAGTATTGCTTCTTTTGTCTTGAAATATATGAATTTAAGAAGTATATCATGTGGCATTTTATTTTTTTGTCCTGTCAATGAATTTATTCTGAAAATATCTTGTATTTCCAAAATTTCATCAATATTCACATCAGGTTTTGAGTAAGTTTTCCACTTCTCTTTCAAAATAATCTTTCCCAAAATTTTAGGTATACCTTTGAACATGTTTAGCTTTGTTTTTTGTGTTCTCTGAACTGAAGAGAACTTTTGGTGTCCATTAATTTGTTACATTCATCATTAAAGTCAGCCTTAAAAGAATCCAAATATTTTTTGTTTTTGTTGAACTTATTGGTAATATTATATTCCAGTATAATGCAATTAATCTATGAGAATATATTTCGCAATAAAATAAAGCAGGTTGATTGTAACAAATGTAGAATCTCTTCTGCTTTTTAAATCCCTTCCTTACAATGTCATCTATTTATTTTTGATAGCTAAAAAGAAACTTTATACCCAGAAACAAAAATTCAATCTCAATATTGTAATTTATAAATGCAGATAATACAAGAAAAAAAAAAGATTGCAAGGCAGGAGGCTAGCCCAGTGATGGCGAACCTTTTAGAAACTGAGTGCTCAAATTGCAACCCAAAACCCACTTATGCACCGTAGAGTGCCGGGTGGGTGTGGCCCATTGGCTGGGCATGGCCCATTGGCTGGACATGGCTGCGGTGGTAACGGCAGACTGGGTGGGACTAAAAAGTTCAATCAATCAATTCCAACTTTGCAAGATTTTTTTTTCCCACAAGAAGTTGAAATTGACTGATTGAATTTTTTTTTTTTTTGCACACGGCGGTGGAGGCTAAAGCGAAAAGGTTTTATAAAACCCAGCTGAAGGCCTAGGACTGGGGCGACAGCGCGCGTGCCCACAGAGAGGGCTCTGAGTGCCGCCTCTGGCACCTGTGCCTTAGGTTCGCCACCACTGCGGTAGCCTGAAACTCTTAAAAGAAAACATTTAACTATTGTTGATCTTTATACTAAACATCTAGGCAATTTCCCAGTCTAAATATCTTAATCTATATTTTGTTTCAAAGTTGAAAACCTTGAGTAGATATTCCTTATGTTGGACTTCCCTCTTCTGGATAGAAAAATCCAATAAAGTTCATTAAAAAGAGGAATATGTTAAAAGTCCCTGTAAATCTATAAGATAAACAAAGCTGTTTATAGAAATATAAATCCAGAATAATACAGATAGGCTAATAATCAGAATGCTCCAACACTGAAAGTTGTTAAGAAAAATCAGTTCTTTCCAGACATTGAATAATACTGAATATGTAGTTTTTTAACCAAATCTCTTTGGGTTTCTCACAAAGAGCTAAAAAATAGGTCACTATCTGCTGTAAAATCATAAATGGCTATCAGAGAAACATGTAAAACTCCTACAAGATGTTGTAATTTTGTGGATTTGCCTATTTGGACCACCCCTCAGAAGAAAAGTAGTCATTATGAATATTTCTTTTCAATAGTTACAGAAAGGGGAAACTTAAAAAGATATTTCCACCAAAGAAATACCACTGCCTCCCTAATGAGCTGCCATCTTGTTTTCATAACAACAAACTTGTGGTCATAGATAAGGATAAGATATTACATAAGGATAAGCTATAAAGATAAAAGAATGACAACCAATAGTATATAAAATGTAATATTATTATATAAACTATTATAGTTCTAAATTTTGTGCATAAAATTATAAAGGTGACTTCCAGTTCCGGTACGCGGCGACGCCGGTCGTGTCTAGGGACTTGTCTCCAGTCCAGCCAGGTTTTCTGCGTCAGTAGACCCCTTAGGGGGTCGAAAGTCGCCCTGGAGGGGTGATCACTGAGAAGGAAGCTTGCTGGTGACTGGGAGAGCAGCAGCTTCTGTGGTTCCAGCTATTTCCTTAGGGCCGACGGAGCAACGATCATCCTGCAAGATGGCCGATTATCCTGCTGCACCAGCCGAAGTCACAATTACAGCTAAGTGTAATTAGACCCACCGCGGAGGATCTGGGTGAGACCCTTTTTGTCCCTCTCTTTTCCCTCTTTTGGCTTTTTTTACTGCCTGTAAAAACTTGGTTGGAATTATTTCCCCGTTTGGAAAAAGCAGCTTCTGTTTGTATGGGAAGAAAGGCGCTGAGAACAAAGAATCCTTAAAGACCACATTTTATTTTTATTTATTTTGGGATACAGAAAAAAACGCTTTTTCGAATTATATTAGTAGTTAATATTGGAAGATTATTTCTTCCTCCACTCTTTCTTTTAAAAGATAGAAAAAAGGGGGAAAATGGTGTCTGGAAAAGTCTTTTTTATTTACTGAGGACATCTAGTGGTGAAAAATTAATATTGCAACTGTGGAGTAGTCTTTGGAGAGAAGGAGCTGACCTTCAAACTATTCCTGGAAAAGATAACCTGATGCAGCTGTGGGAACTGAGGGGGTGGACACTGTTTAATTACAGCTTTCATTAAATAAAAAAAATAAAGAAAGGATTTTCTTTATCCACTTTTAAAATGGAGAAACTTCACTCTCATTTAAATTGCAAGCTTATATTAGAAAAGATTTACGAGGTTACTGAAGAAATATGTGCTATAAGGAAAGGGATTATTACAGAACAAAGAGTCAACTCTACCCCAAATTCTCAAACTGATTTTCAGATTACATCTGTTTATTCTACAAACCAAAACCTACCAGAAGAGGAATTAAGGGAGATTAAAGAGGAATTTGCTACAACAAAAGAGATTACTACAGAACTAAGAAACAGAAATTCCTCTTTAAATCCTAAAAATGACTTTCTGACTATATTTGACTATTCTACAAACCAAAATACACTAAAAGATGACTTCATGGAGGATACAGAGGAACTTATTTCACCTTACAAGCATCTTATCTATACTTTTGAGGATCAGAAAAAGCAAAGACTGAGATTTGAACCTTTAAAGCTCCAAGGCTTCAAGAATAAGAGAAATAGAGGTCCAATGCAGAGGATAGGAAGCTTATTACTGCCTCAAATGGCATCACAAGCAACAAAGAGAGACCCATTGGTTGGAAGGGAAGCGTTGTTGTGGAAACCTGCCTGGCAGAAAAAGAAGCCCAGAATAAGACTGAAAATAGAAACTTAAAATTATATAGACTGGATTTAAGACATTTTAGAATTATGGACTGATCTAAGGATTAAGCTCTCGTGTTAGAAATAAGAAAAATGGGTGATTATTAGAATATATATATCAAATAAAATAAGAATATATGTTTGGGAATAATAGGTTTATATGTATGAAAATTATTATATAATGGAATGAAGAAAACTGAAGAGGTGTTCTCGATTGGAATTGAACTAATAATGAATTGAATATTATTTTAATAAGATGATGTGTTTTTATTTGAGAATATGGATGTTATTAGGTCTGATAACTAATTGGATGAAATGGACTTAAATGAT